AACATCCCACCAATTAAATTCATATATATAAAGAGAAGCAAATTTTTAAAGAGAAGCAACGAAGCAAATTTTATATATGGTGTGTATGTTTATATATTAATTAATACATGGAGTTATGAGTTTGTTTATTTTGATTCTTGAAGTTGCATTTGATAATATATCATGAAATTACATCTTCTTCTGCGCAAGTTACATCTTAATGCAAGCGGGTTACATCTTAATATACACAAGTTACATCTTAATGTATACGAGTTACACCGTAGAATAAATAAACTCCAGCTATATCATTTTTATTGCCCTAATATTAAAAATAAAACATATTCACTATTTATAAAAAGTAATTAAACTATTAGGATCAATTTTTCATTGTTTACATTGAAATCAATGTTTATAATACCTCAAACAAAAAAAATCATTGTTCAATTTTCCAACAAGTTACATTCTGTATACACATAAGTTACATTTGTTATCAACGCGAGTTACATTGGTAATAACACGAGTTATTTAAAAAAATCAACACTTGCTATTGAATAAAAAAATGAACTTTTTTAAAAAATTATTTTTGATGACCATGATATTAAAAAACAAAACATATTCATATTTACCTAAATCAATTATGCAATTGGACTCTTTTTTTTCATTATTTACAATGAAATCAATATTTGACAAATTACATTTTGGATGAGCTAGAGTTACATTGATGAATAATGTGAGTTACATATCTTTACACGCGAGTTACATCATCTATGTTACTGGGACAAAAAAAGTCACTGTACACGCGTGTACTGTTCACACGCGTACTATTCACCCGATTTTTTTAAATTGCCCAAAACTACGTCGTTTTGAGGGTGGGAGCATGATGCTCATGATGGGACGGTCGTATGATATACGAACTCATATTACTGCTGCTGTAGTTAACATAAAGCCCCACTTACGTGAGTATCGCTGATCTTAACATACGAGCACCAATAGACGCAATCAAGTGAGTCCTCACAAATATAAAATCCATTTTTTCTTTAAATAGTTATAACTTTTTTATTTTTGCTCTATATTGTTTAAAAATATATCAAAATTCATAATTTTTTATGAGCTTTCATTTGACACCAATATTGTATATGTAATTTTTTTTTATAAATGAAGAGCATATGGAGCTTGTTTGGGAACTCTTTTTTTCAGACTTATCAGTTTTTGCTCTAACTTTTTTACCAAACACAAAACTTTTGATTTTGTGTGCTTATTGTGTTATAATCAAAATAAATAAAGTTGAAATTATTGTACATGTTTATTTTAGCTATGTTTATTCATTTTATTCACTCGTACTCTAAATTTGAAGCGAAACGGCAGGAAGACGACAGTGAGTCAAAGAAGAAATGACATTCAAAATCTGAGTGGGTGTAGTAAAAGTAAGGTTTTTATATTTGCCTATCAAATAATTATTGTACGTCACCATAAATAATGCACATATACGGAGTAGCTAATAGCCTTGATAGGTTACATAGCCTTCGCTGGCCGGACTGCCTCTTCTTACGTTTCCATGAGCCTAGCTATTTTAAATTACATTTAAAATTAACTTTGCTAATAAAGTTATAGAAACTATATACTCCTTATATACAAGCATGGGCGGAGTTAGGGGTGCGCCAACATAGGCCCTGTCCCTTGACTCACCCCAAATTTTAAAAATGGCATAATTATTAAAGTAAAAAATTCGTGTAAATTTTTTTTATAAATATTCTTTATACTGGCTCAGTCCGACTCAGTGCTCTGGCTCCAGTCTTGTATACAAGCAACATAAGGTTAAAGTTTCAGCGACTATAGTCATCTAAGGCTTCTAAGCTAATTAAAGTATTAAACTATAGGTTCACCCTTCATTTTTTCTATTATTATATATCTAATTCATCAAATAACATAGAATTAAAAAAATTGATTTTGATGAATAGTACCGAGCTAAAACCATCAAAAGGCCTATATACAAAATTGTTTGCAGTTAGGATGTTTTCTTTTGGATTGAAATTTGCTGGTCTGGTCTGGTCTGTTTAAGTCTGGTCTGGTCTGGTCTGGTCTGGTCTGAACTGGTCTGGTCTAGTAAACGTCTGGTCTTTGTGTATTTTATAACTAAGAAATTCAGGTCTGGTCTGGTCTGTTTAAGTCTGATCTGGTCTGGTCTGGTACTGAAAACGGTCCAAAAGAAAACATCTTTACTCATCCATTACTCATGAGCAGTTATTCGGTTAAGTTCCTATACGAGTATACGTTAAAAGCATTCGTCCATAAATTAGCTTATACTTCGTACTTCGTATGTGTATGTTCATTTTATGTACTACGTACCTAGCAAGCTAGCTAGCATTTATTACTAGTATAACTATACTCCTTTGGAGTAGATGTAACGGTTCGAATCCCAAGTAATACGGAGTATGAGGTATGTTTATATGTATTTTGTACTAGGCCTAACCCATTAAATTAGTTTAAGTTTCGCTCCGTGGCATTATGTTAGTCCGTGATTATTATTATTATTAATCAAACATACAAATAAATTTGTCAAGATGCCTAAATTATTCATAAATAATGAACACTTCTATTACATTTGATATTTAATTTTTTATTCTAGATTATTATTATGTGCATAATTAGTTATAATACCTTAACAAGTTATGATGACTTTGGTGTGTGTTTTGGATCATATGGCTAATGTGCAGAATTTTTATATCTGGAAAGAGTTTGACACATTAAATTCATTAATATATTTTTTCTTTCTTTTCCTCAATATATTTGCACTTTTAATTTCACTTTGAGTTATTTTAAATTACAATCACCTAGGCGTAAATGATAAAAGAAAATAACATTACATAATAATAGACTTGAAGTAATGAAACAAGATGTGGACGTTTTATATCAATTATTTGGAGTTTATGGAAAAGGAGGAACAGTTTAGGGTGAGAACTCCAGTACCCATTTAAAATATGGGGTACCGTACCTATCATTCTCTTGATTGGTCCAAGTGGGTATATCATTTTTAATTTAGACTTAAATAATTAATTCAACTGCAATATTCTGATTGATCCATGTGGACAAAGGTACAGTACCTTTTGGGTACCATAGAATCTACCATAGTTTAGAATAGTTTAGTCTGGAAGGGTGAAAACCAAAGCAGTATGGTGGTAATTCGGGGAATCGGGGTCCAGGTGAAATGTTATATGCTTGGGTGGTTGCCCAGATAAGTACGTTGAGTGGAGTTCAAAGGAAAAATATGGATATGGATAACTGGAAGAAGACTCGACCGGGCTGTATAAAGGTTAATACTTAATACAGATGTTGCAGTAAATGAGGTGGGGAGATTAATTAGAGCAAGGAGTTGGGAATTAGGGGGAGTTTATCAAGGCTGTCACTAGATCCAAAAAGGGTGTTTGGAACCCTACTGAAACAGAGGCCTTGGGAGTGCGGGCATCAGTGGAGGATGTGCTGAAGGAAGAATGAGATTGTATTGAGTTTGAATCAGATGCATTGATCGGTGTTCGCTCGAGGAGTACTGCATGGCGGCTCCTACATGGTTTGCTATTGGAAGATATCTAGAAGTCTTTTGAAAAGCAAGAGTGTATTTAGTACGTATTATCTCTTTTTGTAGACAATCTTGTGAATTGTGTTGCACATTTTTTAGCTAGACAAGACGTGTTATCATCATATCAGGATATATATATTTGTTTTCATGATATTCCATACTCCCTCCGTATCAAATTAATTGACCCACTTTCCTTTTTTGGTGTATCAATTTAATTGACCCATTTCCCTTTTTGGAAAGAATCCCACTCAAAAAGCTGCTACAGTACTGCTACAGTACCGCTACAGTGTCGCTACAGTACCAAAAATCTCTTACTTTTAATAAAGTCTACAGTAATTGTCTTAAACTGCGTGAAAAAGAAACGGGTCAATTAATTTGATACGGAGGGAGTATGTTGTAAGTCAATTGGCTAATGATTTATTGAAGTAATTATGGAGTATATGAATTCTTGTTTTGAAAAAAAAATAGAAGTATTGCAAAATAAGCATCGATCTAAACTCTAAAAACTTAAGTCTAACAATATATCGGTGCATTAATACTTCTCATTAACTTTCATCATGTCAGTCTACTTTCCAAAATGTCCATTACTAGGCTATTAAAAGAACCGAAACTTAGCTTATACGTACGTAGGATGTTTTTACTTGGATTGTAATTTGTTGGTCTGGTCTTGTCTGATCTGGTCTGGTCTGGTCTGGTCTGAACTGGTCTAGTAATGTCTGGTCTCTTTGTATTTTTATAACTATCCAAGTTTGGTCTGGTCTGGTCTGAACTGGTCTGGTCTGATCTGGTCTGGAACGAATTACAGTCCAAGTAAAAACATATGTACTTGTATATCCGTAAAATAGGTGGAAAAAGATGTCAGTCATATCACTAAGTTACTGGTTAATTGTGCAATTTTCTCATCTTTGCACTGCTTCTAGATAATTTAATTACTATGTAGTAATGAATACTCCGTAAAAATCACTCTAAGGTCTAAATCATATTAATTGTTAGGTAATCCATAACATAACTCTTGACTTCGTGTCGCTGAATTATGTAATAATCAAAATAATTAGTTGAAGTTATTGTGGTAATGTGACTCTTCTAACTATTTTTCATATACTCCATAATATTTCTTTATTTTTTTAAACTATACATTAAATTTAATTTTTATGTAATTCAATAGATTCAATCAATTCAGACATAATTTCATCAATTGTAAACAAATCAGTCGATTTGGCCAATTGTAGTGTCACCAAACCAACTCTAATGTATACCCATTTGTCTATTTGATGTAAACATTTATTTCCATGTTTCAATTCAAATAGACCAGACTACATCGTATCCCTTTTCTCTCCATTTGTTCTTCACTACCTTCATAACCATATCATCTACCTGCAGCCTCCATCTCCATCACAGCTGTACATACAGTATAGTTCTGTTATTAAACAAGTCCAGCTCTAGATTTCACTCTCCCCGAGAAACTGTCTATAATAAAAAGCAGAAGTAGAAAAGCTAGCAGCTGCTCTTCACATATGCCATACATACAAAGCCAGAAGTAGTTCTTGAAAGGAGATTTCAAACCTATCTATCTGCACTTCAGTGAAAAAAACTGCAGCTACTTACAAAACCAAAAAGTCCCCAAATAATACATGTCTCCCACTAACAAGTAGCCTTCTTTCTTACTGATCCACAGAAAAACTCAAAACCCTACATTTAGCTTAGAAGGTTCTCCCTTTAGCTTTTTGGACTACTCCCCTTCACCATTAGTGGAAAACATGCCCTTGAGCCAAATATTCTCTCAACAACACAGCCTTATTGGGCCTAATTTTTTAAATGGAGGCGAAACCGCTACGAGAACCCACATTTCTCCCATCACCAAGGTCTGCAAGGAGGAGAGTGAGAACATGAGTCAGAAGAAAAGGCTCAGTTCAAATGCAAGGAGAAAGACGGGTAAAAAAGACCGGCACAGCAAGATCTGCACGGCGAAAGGCGTTCGGGACCGACGGATGAGATTGTCTCTCCAAGTTGCTAGAAGGTTCTTTGATCTACAAGACATGCTAGGGTTTGACAAGGCAAGTAAAACCATAGAATGGCTTTTGTCCAAGTCAAAAAGAGCAATCAAGGAGCTCAAAGCTTCAAGCTGTAGTGAAGAAGGAAATAAGAGTGAAGTGGTGCAGGAGGAGAAGGTATTGGCAAAGGGCAAAAACGTCATTTTCGAGAAAAAGGAGTCAAGGGAGAAGGCAAGGGCTAGGGCAAGGGAAAGGACAAAGGAGAAGATGATAATGATGAGCCAAACACAGGTTATGTATGAATATTCAAACCCTATCACTCCTTTTTTTGATCAAGAATCGAATTCTACTCAAGAAAATGTTGATGGCATATTATTGGAGGAATACTTGGGTGTAGCAAGCTCCACGATAACATCAGTGTTTAAGTATAATGATGATGATGATCATAATATCATCATCAACAATAATGACTCAATTTTTAGCAGCAACTTTATGGGGTTTCTTGGGGATTGGGATTTGGGAGTTGACTGCACTTTCAGGTAACCCTAATTTATTTGGGTGCTTAAAGTCTTTATTTCCAGCCTGTGAACCAAGAAAATACATTTCTCCTATAAGCAATAGGAGACTCTACTGTTATTTTTTAATTTGAATGCCAATATTTGATTATGAATTACTCCGTATAATGTTTTGTCCTAGGTTTGGTTTCAATCACCCTCTATTCATGGAGTCCATTTATTTTTCCCTAACCCACAATTTCCTCATCTCTCTCACTATTTCTGCTACTATAAAATTACCGATGGAGTCATTGGAGAGGATCCAAATTCCTAAATTCCTATTGATGTTGCAACAAAAAAAGAACTTGAACAATTAGTGCCCATGCTTAGGTTATTGACTTATCGCACTTGTGTCCAAATTACGTATGCTTTGATTTGCTAATTAATTTGGAGTATTATACTACTAATTACATAAATTAAAGCTTTTGTTGCTCTATCCAAATGGGAAATTTTCGTTATAATTAGGTTGTATTAACGTTCAATGTTTTTTGTTGAACACATTAATTTCGTCTTTCTATATGGTTCAACTTATCACCCAACTTTTTTACGAAACATGTACGTAGTTTTTTATTTCGCGCGGTGAATTGTGTAATCATAAGAAAAAGTAAGATTAGATTTACTTTTCTGACTGTATCGGTTGAAGTCATTGTAGAGGATCAATTTAGTTGCTTTGTCATATACTTTTTCTTTATTTTTTTAATAAAACATAATTTAAATGCTTCGTATAATTTTTTTCATTAATCAACAAAATCAGCCGATCCAGCCACTTCAACCAGAACTTCATAAATTTCAACAGAACCAGCCAATATATAACAAATTATCCAACGGGTTCTAAATATATAAATATATGCAACAAATTTTGTTTGGATCCCTGCAAGCTCATGTGGTGATGACATGTACTGTACCGGAAATTGTGAAACATTTCAATAGAACAAAGATTTCTATTACGTAGTATTAGAAAATGTATTTACAAAACATGATTAGTAAGTGATATGATATACTCATATACATAATGAATGAATACACATTATTTATCTTGTTAAACCAATAAATTTTTGTATCATTTAGTAATGACTTTTCGGTTACTTAAGCTTACTGAAATACTCATCAATTACTAATAGTAGCCTCCAATTAGCTAGTATCGTCTATAACCCTAGCAAACCCATGTAGTAAACTATCAAGGGGTGTTTGGATGTGCTTTTTAAAACTGCTTAGGCTCTTTGAGAGAGCATAAGCAGTACTAAAGTGTTTGGATGAAAATGGAGAAGTACATCTAAGTGATTAAAATTGCTCTAAGAGCCACATACTTTTTTAAGTTGTGGGATACTAGCTTCTAAAAAATGATTCTTATTCTACGCCTGCTTTTAAAACATATACATAGAATTAATTCCAAACACCCCGTAATACTTCCTATAATTTTAAAGTAATATAATTTCAAATACATGATCTGTACTACGTACTCCTATATATGACTTTCTTCGTTATATATACATGATATATTTAATTCTCATATTAAAATATAATTTATTTGTCCGTTGATTTAATTTAATCCACATAATTATAAGAAACTAGAAATTACGTGTTTATAAAAAAATTAAGCTACATCAAGCATTAGGTATTTTTAGAAAAGGTGAAGATATTTTTCGGGCCAAAATGAAAAGATAATTATGATATGTCGAGTATATTATAGTGTTTTCTCGAATGGAAACTCAATTCGTTATCAAAGTTTGACAGAATATTCTATTCATAATGTGATTGAATGATCGTAAAATTGATTATGATCATGTGAAATCTCTTAACTTGATTACAGAGTCAATTTTGATTACCGAGTCAATTCCGTGATATGACTGTTTTTTAGCATTCATTATTAAAGGTAGCTTACTAGCTTGTCAAGAGTCTGTTTGACTCATTTATGCATCCTAGTATATTGTTCAGTCTGATTCAGACTGAGGGAGCGTGATAAAGTATTTGTCTCACACCGGAAAGCTATAAAACAATACTTCATATAACATTGTATAAGACTTTGAGTCGCTCCTATCTGATTGACCTTTTATTGAAACCCAATTCTTAACAAAATTCGCCTCCTCACTAAATATTGGATATGTCGGGCAAAGCATGTTAAAGATGATTAATTGATACTCCGTAATATAATGGTCTACCTAAGAACGTAGGGCATATTATACTCCGTATTATTCTCTATAGGATTAATCACTCCATACCAGATCAGTTAGGTGTACACAAAACTTTGGAAAGTGAAAGTATGAATGTTTGGTATAACCTATCTCCTATCTTATCTTTCCTTAACCTGATCATAATGGAATTTAATAAATTTAATTTGGTAACTAGTAAATTGAATTGAATTGGGATGTTGTGCCTATACTAATAGTCTAGAGAAAACTTGGGTCTACTCGTATTGATTATACACAGGCAAGTGAGCAAGTCAAGAGTTGGTACTACAAACAGAGTCATGTGTTAATAATTTAAGAAGAAAAGGACGGTTTGTAATTCTTTTTGGGTGATGAGAGATGATAGTACACCCAACAACTAATTTCTATTGTTCTTACTCTATTCCCAAATATTCCGAAACACTATTTTGTCTGCTTGAAAACAAACAAAAAAATTCAATTTTCTTTTAGGTTAGAAAATACTCCTATGTTGGTATTATTGGGAGAATCGCATATTTTAGCCCAAAACTTTTGGGTGGAACGTGAAATGGTCGATTATACAGGATCTAACTCAATATAGGAGTATTTTCTAACCTAAAAGAAAATTGATTTGGTATTACAATTTGGTAATACTTCGTACATGTTACTCTACCACACAAAGAAATGAGTATATTTTACAATACTTTGATTGCTTCGACTCATTTTCTCGTCATTATTAATATTTAAATGATTACTCATCAATTAGGATATTCTCCTTTCGTTAGTTTTGGTCGGGATGGATATTTTTCCCCGACAAACTACTAAAATATTTAAAAAGGGAGATTTTTCAAAATATGAATAAAAATGATGCAAAATTTTAAAACAATGTTTTTCCCTAAATATGAGTATCATCCTATTTTGAGAATACTATGTCATATTTCACAATATTTTTCAAATCTAGTAATAATAAATCATATTCAGAGTGAGAACATACTACTCCTATTATTTCGAAATTTTAGAGTGTTCCTACTCCTATCCTATATAGGGGAATTTTTATTATAAAAGTTGTTGTCAGCTGAAATAAAAATAATTATCATTTTAAATGTAAAAAAGAATAAGATTATTTCAGTTTTTAAACTATGAAAGTAAATACATACTACGGAGTATCATACTCCGTATTAATTTTAGATTTTGTATAACAATAGATCAAAAGATTCAAATCCGTGCACACATGATATAAATCGTATGTGATGAAATCTATCAATGTCTTAAGCTCTTTGGTCATTTGAAGTACTTAAATAGTTAAATTGAACAATAATTATGAATTACAGGACTGAAAGTAGTTAAACTATTATCTGAGACCATTTTTTCATATCAGTTAAAACTAAAAATTATGGACCAGATGTGCTTTTTCACGAGTTTGTGATTCGGTAGTACCAGGGATGGATGTGGGGGGCAACCGCCTCCGTTAAGTTGGACTTTCAAAAATTTCTACATGTAATGTTTTTCGTAAAATTTTTATACTTTAATTAGACTAGTATAATACCCGTGTGATGCGCGCGATATAAATATACTTATATTATTGATCATGTTGTATGATAAAAAAAAAGTCAGATGATCATAAATAAGATGAATGATTCTACTTCCATCCCGGTGGACTTTGCCAAGTGCAGTGTAGGTGAGAAATAAGAATGGTAAAAACTGTATGGTTGAGATTTGTGTAGAGGAGATAGAAATGTGCAAAACCACACATTAGTTGCTTTAATAAGAAAGTGACAAAGTTTTTTGGGACAACAAAAAAAAGCAAAGTCGGCAAAGTCCAATGGGACGGAGGGAGTATGATAAAAATAGAAATGTTGACAATTGTTGTTATACTAAGAAAAATGAGAAATATATATGTAACGTTTTCGTAAAATTTTCATACTTTAATTAGATTCGCCCCTCTTAACTTTTAGTTTTTAAAATCAATATATAGTCTTACATAATGTAATAATAATTGGAGATTTACAAGAAGGAACATCAGAAATAATTTCTAAAACAATAATTTTATAAGAACGTTGCGCCCAACGTTCTTATCTTTTAATGCAGCGTTAAATGGACAGTTCATGGACGATTCAATGCCCAACGGATTGGTCATTGATGTCCAACGTTCAGGTCCATTAATTCACCATTTTCACACAACAAATCCTCCTATATAATGGCTGACAGGTGGTTTGCAACACGTTCTTACACGAATTCATACACTCCATGCACCTTTTGCACCTCTGAAAACACACTGCTAGCATTCTGAAAAATTCATTCTATGTTCATACCTCTGAAAACAGTATCATACTACAAAATTATATCCTTAAATCCAACTCAATATATCTCCACGCACAATTAATAATAAAAATTGACACATATTATTTGCATCCACAATTTTTTGAATTTAACCACAAATCAATTAATACCCAGTATAATATACTACACATCTAAAAGTACTCGGCACACATGCACAACAATTATTCTATCTCAAATACCCCCACATTTTGAATATTTGAAAAAATGTTCCATAACATTTTTTTTGAGAAAAAAAAAATAATACACAGTAATTATAATAAATTTATAATGTTGGGAATACACGAAGTTCAATTATAACTTGTAAGCACCAGGAAAGCTTTTCATATGAAAAGCTTTAAACTTCAGTCATTTAGCTATTCACATTAACATTACATAACACTGCGTAAGAAGTAATATGCCACATATTAAAAATATCAAGCAAATTGAAAAGAGTATAAATTCACTCAGTAATTTAAAAATATTTGGCACACAAAATTCATGATTACAATAACTTTGTCTCAAAATTTACTCATTATTCTCCATTAGTCAAAACCACATATTTTTTTCAAAAGGGAAACATAAACTGAAATAAATCAAAACTCGGACACTTGGAATACGTTATTTAAAGATAATAGTTTTGCATTCACAAATGAATTTTGTAACCTC